TTTGTGGGAAAATGTATATCCTGTCTTCATCGGAACTAGAAAGAGGATTGTTTTGGAGATGTAACTTTTCCTGGTGAAAAGTTACTTCTGTACTCAAAGCTTCTTTCAATCTCAATTTGTTGTATTTAGTCAGCTTTTATTTCATCCAACATGTGTTAAATAAGCATAAGTTGATATTTTCTGCTACACTGGTTATGGCAATCGAGTTTGTCGTATGTGCAGGTATGTGGGCAAATCACCAATTAGCCAATCAAATCATGATATGCCTCATTATTGGATAAAGTCAGGCTACACGATACAGGTGAGATTGCAGCAGGCCTTCTTGTTTGTCGTTATGTTTCACGATTGTATACCTTATATCATGAACTTAGAGGCAACAATCGAGGTCTCCTTTGCACTTTAATTACATCAACATCTCCTACGAAGTTGACCTCATCTGGTATTTCCGCATTAATACGCCTACTTATAAGTAGCCTTCGTCGGGTTTCCTGTATCATATTTCAATTTGATGAATTGAAAATGCGAATTTTTTTCCCGTTTGATCGCGTTTTCGCATATTCGTTCCCAAGATAACCTTCACCTGTGCTCTAACGACACGATGAACTTTCAATTTCTTGTGACATTACTTTGCACTTCGAAGAAAAGGTCGGATGGAAACCGAAGGAGGATTGCCGTGTAAGGAAGACCGTTGCTTTGGGTGAAAAAGTCCTCAACTCACCGTCCTGCGACCACGATCAACCTGGGCCAAGCTTTCGTCTGTACCGCCGTAACAGACATTATCAAAACCAAAATCCATACTTTACGAAATAGAGCAAAAATATGCTAAACAAAGAGCAAAGGTGTCCAGCTGCAACTCTAGCCGCATTTTTCATATATACACCTAACCTTGAGGTGTATCCCATACCTCAAACCTGCTCTACAGACTTGCGCATGGGTGAAGTTACTGCACGAACCAGAAGTGCATTCGTGTACTGGTGACCTCATCCTGCATTTCCACATTATTGCGCCTACTCATGAGTAGTATTCATTAGATATCCTCTATTCTGCTTCAACTTGTTGTACTATTATCTCATTTGACTGAGCTTCCGTATTTTTTTCCGAGGCAACCTTCACCTGTACTCCAGCGACACGATGAACTCTCGATTCTTGGAGTGAGCAAAAACCGGGAAGGAGGCAGAGACGACACCGATAAATCAGTGAATTCACCCGGCAGATGCCCAACGAAGGAGGCGGAATCGCCCTGTCAACGCCAGGCCTAATGAGGCGGTTGTTTACCGAGCCGCGTCAATCGATAGCTGTAGCAGGCCAGCCGTCCCTTCAGGCCGGGCCGAGCCGAGCCGAGCCGGGCTAGGCCTGGGAGAGGTGAAAGTCGGCCGGACGGTGAGCAGACGGACAGGCGGTTGGACGAGGCGATGGAGCGCGTGCGCCGGCCAATCAGATCGTCCGGGTGCTGGCATCGGTGTCTGTCAGTGAGGCGAGTGCTGCGGGCAGGCGCGGCGACGGAGGGACGGAAGGGAAGGGAGTGAGAGCGAGGAAAAGAGTCACTCTCACCTCGCGGCATTTCGCCTTTCAAACCGGCGCGTTGGTCAGCCAATCACTGCGGCCCAGTTTCTCTTTTTCTCCGCACTCCTCTTTTCACCACACCGATTCTCTCTCCTCCCTCTCGCCCACCCACTCACCCACACACACACACACACACATACACACACACTGCCACACGTGGACACTGTGTGTTGTCGGCTTACTTTCGCGCTCCCGCAGCCCGGTTAGAAGACAATGTTTGCTCATGTGTCGCCCTGTCAGCTCGTCTTATCTAAAGCACATTCTGAGTCTGATGCTTTCGCGGCACGTTATCTCCTCGTCCGCACGCCCGCCTCGTCTTATCTCACCCGGCTGTAGCCCAGTTCGGGCTTGTTTACACACACGCGCATGTCGGTCCGTCGGTCGGTCGGTCGGTCGGTCGGCGAACCTCGCGGCCTGCCTCACGTGAACTCGACTCCGCCCCCTCGCATCACCTTCCTTTCGCTCGCCTCCTCACGACGCCCTACAATCCCGCCGTTTCACTGGCCCTCAAGGCACCGCCCACTCACCCTCGGCCGACCGCCCGTTCACTCGGTCACTTCTTTTCTCCGTTCACTCATTCGTCTGCTGCCGACTTCTTACTCCACCCGGGCCAGCAGCCTGCACATGCCAATGGTGACTCGCGGCTAGACTCCGACCGCGGTTTTCAGGCCCCTTTCGCATCACCCCACCCCGCCCCACGTCTCGTCCATC